CACACGCACACACACACACACACACACACACACACACACACGCACACAAATCCCATAGATATTAAGGGAAGGATTCAAACCACATCTTGAGACCATAATATCATACAGACCTAAGAGTGGAATCTTTTAGCATGAGACACAACCATTAAGCATAAACAACCATCAAGAACACCCTAGCAGCCACCTAGCAATGCCTTAGCAACCTCTCTGAACACTTTGGTGACCACATAACACAGTGGAAAATGTAAAAATCTAGTTCAGCATCTAATGTTGCTGAAACATGTTTTTCTATTTGCACTGGTCGTTCATTCCCTTACGAAAAAGAAGTTTATTCAAGTGTGCTATTAGTATGCTACTACAAGTATTTAATTAGTAAACTATTAGTATACCTATAAGTTCACTTTTAGTATAGTTGCAGTACAAACTAAACATTTTGATGTAAACTAGTTGTGTACTCAAAGTTTACTACTGTTATACTTAAAGCATACTTAAAAGTATACTTTTATATACTAGAAAGTGGGCCAATCTAGTCCCAAGGAGTATTGAAATAGTACACTTACAAGTATACTACTAGTACACTGATATTTGTATACTTACTACATAAAGTATACTTAACAATATACTTGAACTTTACTTAAGTATACTTACTAAAATGAACTTGAAGTATACTACTTTTTGGTAAGTGTTGCTTTAAACCGATCTGCTCTTTTCTAGGAAACTGAAGTTGGAGAAGGAGTTAGCTGGGATGCTTTGGAGGATACGGTGGGAGGAACTGCAGTTTGAAAGTCCCAACAAATATCACAAACGCGCAGGCAGCCGTCTCACTCTTTCTCAGGTACAAGTGCTCTCTGGTATTCTCGTATTTTGGATAAAGTGTTGCCAGTTTGGATATGTTTTCCAGTTGGCCACCTCTAAACCAGATATAAAATTCATTTTAAATGTACAAGGATTACATTTAAAATATCCAAAAGACGAAATTTCTTTGAGTTTCTGTTTTTGTATAAACAACGTCGAATAAAAGAGGTTTCCTCCTGTTTCAGCCCATGTCCATATGGTTTTAATTTATCTCATAAAAATTTTTGGACTTGGCTGTAATTCCTGGCACTGTTTTGCCATGTCCATTTAAAATGGCATTCCTTGGGAATTGCAATGAAGGCTTAGTCAGTTAGTTAGTCACAAAAGGTAGCCTGATTTAGTTCATCCGAATTCTCTTTCTCTTTAAAATAAAGAATAAACAAATTCATAACAAGCTCACAGGTTTTGCTCCTATTTACATTCGAAAGCCAAAACAAAATGGGTTGAATACCCTTTAATTTTTCAATGAATTTATATAAGATAAATGGTATAAACTAGACAGAAATGAACAGAAATGATCAAAATCTTTATAATGTATATTTTTTTATACACATTCTTGACACATTACACATTCTTCAGGTTTACAGTAGCAGACCCATATTAAACAATTGTTCAAATAAGCTCCAGTTGGACTGCCTGGTCTCCTATTTAAAACACATGTATCATGATCTGCTGTGGATTATTAGCAGACTTATTGTTTTCCTAGTAAACACACACACATGCACACACGAACACATTTACATGTTCTTTTGGCCTCATATTTGGAACATGCGTTTTGAAGGCCAATGCATTTTCCAGGCCACCGTATACAGTATTACACATTTTGGAATCCATTCCTGTTCCACATCATTAGACTGAATGTATGATTCATTCTACTCCCTTGATGTTACTTAAAGGGGTCATATGATGCTTTTTTAAAGATCTTCTTTGCGTGAACATTTGGGCGGCATTATGCAAATATTTCCACATAGTGACGTAGATATGTGGGGGCGTGTTAGAACGAGCCGTTTTAGGGGGGCGTGGCAGTCTTAACTTTGATCAAGAATATCTCTTTGGTTTTGAGACTTTAGTCTTTGCAACTTCAGGGATCTTATCTATGCACAATCAGCTTGTAACACGCCAAAGAGAAAGGAAAACTTGAAATCGCATCATATGACCCCTTTAAATGAGGCTTTTAATGTCTTTCTTCTCATCCTTCAATAATTTCTAATTCTTAAATGTTTCTTTTTTTTACTCTGTATATTAATAAGTGCCACTTTGACTCAGTCAAGCTAATGTCAGTTTTCAGAGTCTTTGGAAAAAACATTTGGTGTGAAGCATTAAAATGCACCTTCAGATATCTTTCTTGTATCTTGTAGTCAACTAAAAGTATATTAGACTTCAGAAGTACCACTTTGAAAATCCTGGATTTTTAAAATTAAACCTGGAAGTAAAATGTACATTTAAATTAAGTTTTGTTCTAAAATGATGGAAAATTATTATTAAAATTATTTTCAATAAAATTATTAGTAAAGTTATTAAACATTATTAACTCTTTTTAGATAGTCATAGATAGCCATGGATAGATAATCAAATTTGTGACAAACGGTGACACTGACCATGTGAGCAGTATACAAAAGGAGGTAATTTGTTAAATTTAACAATTAAATTTGAACAAAATGAAACTTTTCACACGTTTCAAATGCTATGTTGATAATATAATTTGCAATACACAATATTGTATCAAGTCTAAATAACTTTTGGACCCCACTATATAAATGTTTTCTTTTCTGATGTGCATAATGAAACTACTTTGTCTTAAATGCTTCCTAGTACTGCATTCTCTCTGTATTTCCTTTGCAGAGAGGTTCCAGCTATGGCTCCTTGATAACAGCTCATGGAAAATATCAGCTATTTGCAAAAACAGGCTATTTTAAGGTGCGGTTCTTCTGCAGAGTTCTTCTGACATCCTCCCTCTGCTGCACATCCACACACATGTGTATTCACTGGAGAAATGGAGAGTGGGTGCACTACCAACTCAATGTGTTGCTTTGAGATCACAGTTTAATGCAGCTTTGCAGCTCCTAAAGTCAATCCACAGTGCTAGGTGTGCTATGCCACAAAAATTGGATC